GGTCCAGAAGCTGATAAGTGAAATGGAAAAGAGTGGTGTAATAGAACCATCGTCAAGTCCATGGTGCTCCCCAGTGGTCTTGGTCAAGAAGAAAGACGGAAGCACGCGATTTTGTGTGGACTACCGAAAGTTGAATGATGTCACCAAGAAAGACAGCTATCCGCTCCCAAGAATCGACGACACATTGGACACATTAGCCGGGACGTCATGGTTTTCCACCCTTGACCTGCAGAGTGGCTACTGGCAAGTAGAGATCGCCGAGAAAGATAAAGAGAAAACAGCGTTTGGCGTTAATGGGGGTCTCTGGCAGTTCAATGTCATGCCATTCGGACTCTGCAACGCCCCGGCTACATTTGAAAGGCTGATGGAGCGTGTGTTAAAAGGTCTGCAGTGGAAGTCATGCCTCATATACCTGGATGACATCATAGTCATGGGACGCAACTTCGACGAACACATCAAGAACTTAAGGGATGTTCTACAGCAGCTTTCGTCTTCAGGCCTCAAGTTAAACCCGAAGAAGTGCAGTCTCTTCCAACGAGAGGTGAAGTTCCTGGGGCACCACGTGACGCCGGAGGGCATATCGACGGATAAGGAGAAAATTCAAGCCGTCAGAGATTGGCCGCAGCCCCGAAATCTCCATGAGCTGCGAAGCTTTCTGGGTCTCTGCACCTACTACCGTCGATTTGTCCCAAATTTTGCCAACATCGCCGCCTGTCTACACCGCTTGACGCAAAAAGGCCAGAGGTTTCAGTGGGGCAACGACCAAGAAGAGGCATTCAGAAAGCTCAAAGACCTGCTATGCAGAGCCCCCATTTTGGCATACCCTATACCTGGCGGAAAGTTTGCTCTGGACACATACGCAAGTGCGTGAGGCATCGGTGGCGTCCTTTCCCAGGAAATCGACGGATTGCAGTTTCATCGGGTACTACAGTGAAGATCGAAGCCTGAGAGGAATTACTGTGTGACGAGGAGAGATGCTTGCTGGCCAGCATTTTCGGCCATGGAGGACCGACCACGCTGCTCTCCAATGGTTGCTGCAAAGAAATTACCGGAAGGTCGAAAGCCCTCTTTTAAAATCCTATGATTTGGGCCAGAGAAGGCGGGGATAATGCTGATGCCCTCGTCGGCCATAATAGATGGTTGCTCAAAGGCTACAAAGCAAATGGGAAAGTGCAGTTTGAGTCGGGTGAAGATTCTCACCGGAACAACGAAGAGATCCCTGGCCCAGTGGGACTCCAAAATAAGAGATGTCAAAGAAATTGTCGAAAGCCCTCTTTTAAAATCCTATTGGGCCAAGTGGAGGACATCTTGGCAAAAGACGGCTGAAAAGGTAAAGCAGAGATTCGACTGGGTCGGCTGTCAAAAATCCATTGCCGACTGGATCGCCAATTGTGAAAGGTGCATAAGAGCTAAAGGTCCAACACGAAAGAGTCGAGGCTACATGCAGCAGTATAATTCAGGAGCCCCTTTTGAAAGAATCGCAATGGATGTAGCTGGACCGTTCCCCACAAGCGACTCTGGGAACCGGTATGTCTTAGTGGTCATGGATTACTTCAGTAAATGGCCAGAGGTTTATGCTATCCCAAATCAAGAAGCCAGGACAATTGTGGATGTGTTCAGCAAAAATTGGATTTGTCGCTATGGTGTTCCATCGGAGGTTCATTCCGATCAAGGTAGGAACTTTGAATCAGCGATCTTCAAGGAAATGTGTAACTCCTACGGAATCAAGAAAACCAGAACGACGCCTCATGGTGGAAAGACATCCACAATCAATGGACAGTGGCCAACGGACTGGGAAGATTCCAAAGTTTTTACTGGCTTATATCGGCCATTCATGATTCCACAGAACAAATCTACGGGAAAGTGGTGATTTGACACCCCAAACGACGATGTGAACCAAGAAGAAGACAGTCAGAACTCTGGGATGATGCAGTTCGCCATCGAATAAAAATGGTTAGCAACCGCATGAAGGCAAGGTACGATCGAGCGGCAAATACCGATGGGTTCCAAGAAGGGCAACTGGTACTATTGTTCAACCCACAACGAAAAAAAGGACTTTCCAAATTGCAAACGCACTGGGAAGGACCCTACAAGATTGTCACGAAAATAAATGACGTCGTTTATCGCATCCAGAGGAGCGACAGTCCCAGGTCGAAGATGAAAGTTGTACATTTGGAGCGGCTGACCCCCTACGGAACGGGAACTGTGCCTATTCGGGACGAACAGGCTTAAGCGGGGGGCAATGTTACGAAAATAACTTTAGATTTAAGATTAATTTAGATGAATTCCGTTAATTTAAGAATTTGAATTGTAACGTAAATTTCTACTACGCAGTTTATTCGAATAACTTCACAACAACAAATACTGTATAGATTTTTCTACATCCTTCCATTTCCTCTTCCATTTTCTATTTTGTTATTGTCGTACAATTCTTGTTAAACGTCATCATTGATGATCGCTTAATTCCTTTTTCTTTGTTACCCCCTCGCCTGTATATGTGTTGTTGTTATTGTTTACTCAATGTAAGTTTGTATGTGTTGTTGTTATTGTTCACTCAATGTAAGTTTGTATGTGTTGTTGTTATTGTTCACTCAATGTAAGTTTGTATGTGTGTTGCATTGGTAGATTGTTCGTGATCTAGGTGTTACCAGATCGTCTAGAAACTTCTGTAGCGACAAGCAAGGCTCATATAAATAGGGGAAATGGAAAGGTAGTTAGTCAGTTGTGAATCAGATCGCGAATTGAAACCGTCGAGTAAAGTGCAAAGTAAAGTTGTGTGAATAAAATCATTGTAATAATCGTAATCCGAAAGAACCCGCGTTTTATTTGGTACGAACTGTATTGGGAAATAAAACAACGTCTACACGGGATTAAGTAAAATCCAAGAACGTAACAATATATTTCAATGAATGTTACCCAAATACGCATTGCGTATCAAAATAAAAAGTTGAAAATTATCAACATGACAATGCGTACTTTAAATTTTTTTTTTCTGAAAATAGAATTTCAGTCATTGAAAATTTTGTTTTTCTACACATGTAAACATTTTTCGACCACTTAAAATAATATTTTTATCCATTTTCGCCGTTTCCAATTCGCACAGATCCAAATAAAGTCCTTGCGTATTTGGGTAATACTGACGTCTAACAAACCCTATAAAGGTGAGAATTTTTGTACGGAGCACAATAAATTAGGTACGACACTTAAACAAAATTATTCTATTTAAAAAGAATGTAAACAAATTTTTCATACTTCAAAAATAATTGTAAATAATTATTCGCCTTGTTTACCATTTTGACATATCATGTTCCCAATTCGCCGATGCGGCTACCTTATATATGTACCTTGGTTTTATCGATGCCTTTGTCAATGGCCTTTGTCAAGGCCTATAAATAAGGTCGTCCAGGGTGTCCAGCTGGATATCTGATGTCTCTTAAGTTTGCTGTGAATTGTCTTCCAATATAAAAGTGTAAACAAAGGCCACATATTTGACATTAGATTTGAGAGAAAACAGCTGATTTTCGCTAGCTGGGTGACCTTATTAATAGATCTTAGCTTGGGGTTTTCCGAGGAAAATTTTAAAGATGAAGAAGATGAGCGTTGGATCACCGCGGAAGTTTTCACATTGTGGATTATCACCAATTAATGAATAAATTCAAGTGTAAACCACACCGACAAAGGGAACACCGACGACATGTACTATTTACAAAATGGAGAAAATTATTCGGGCATGTTCTGGAATTCACTTCAACGGCAGAAGTGTATCGAACACACGCCGAGGTGTTCTGTAACACACTTTACACCCATTTGAGGTGTATTCTTTACACTTACATTTCCATAGTGAGAGCCGGGTGTTGCCATATATTTTTCATATAAAAGAACATCTTTTTTGAAATAAAAAACGCACATGATGATAGATTGATATGTTATTATTGCGTATAATGTGATTAAAATCACAAAATGAACATGAAACACCATTAAAAACAAATTTTAAATAGATACTTGAATTTTCTTCAACTGAATTTCTTGCTTGACACAAACAGCTGATTCGATGTAAGGCCGAAAAAGATAGGGTTACCAAATGTTCCCCCTAAATCAATCAACAATTTAATGATATTACAGAGGTTTCATACATATATTTTATGTTGCGAATAATAAAATATTAAAAAATAATAATAAAATTGTCGTTAGAATTAACGAAATTACTAAAAAATTACAGAAGCAATGCTAAAAACGAATACAGTTTATGTTGTATGGCAACAATATTTCTGCAAAGTACCATGTTGACGTTTATTTTTGTCGCAGTTCAAAATTTCAATTCACGTGAGAAGCAGAACAGGAGGTAGCTTCTGAGGTGAAGTGTATGTGTAATGTGAAAAGAACACACCGTGAGTTCCAGAACATACCCGATTATTCCCTTTATTGTATATTGTATATATTTCCCTTTATTGTATATGATGTGCCTATCATAAAATTTAGAAGAAAGCTTCTCTATATTTAATGAAATTACCAAAATAATTCAATTTTCTAAATAAAATATAACGAACCCAATCACACGTATCATGTTTATAAGTTTTATTTGAAATAATAAATCCAATGTGTCAAACAATTGTACAATTATCCAGTAACATAAAAAAACGTACTAAAAATAGAAAAAGAATTCTGATTCAAGAAAAAATAAACAATTCATATGTTTTATGTGGCCTTTGGCTGTGCAAACGAATGTGAAACGATTTTTAAGGTTTTTTTTTTTGTTCAAATGTGATTTTTATCATGAAAGCAGTTTTTATATCTGTAGTGGGAAAACGATTAATCTTATTTTATACTAAAAGTCTAGATCTTTAAAATATTATATTTTAATGAAAAGGAGTAACTAAATACAGCGATAATTTGTCGGCGAGTATACTTAAATTTAATGGGACTAAAACTAATTCTGCGAAAGCGGTTACAATTCATAACGTTTTCCATGTACATTACAGTCTACAGTTGTTAGACTTTTCTTAAACACCGGGCGGAGGAGGTTCATCGCAGCGCCCCGGTGGTGTCTTGACATTTAGGACAATGTCATCGGGAACCATACTAAGAAGCTCTGCTTCACTTAGTTTAGCGAGCCGACTTGTTGATGTAGTGCCTGAAAGAGAAGAAAAGAAAGTAAGTACTAAGCCTTCTTCCACATCCACGTATTCGTTTACTTTTTTGTCCATAAGATGATTCGATTGGGTCAGCTGGATTGTATTCCTCGACCGACTCGGGCAGAGCTGGCGATGTGATCAACGATCCAATCAAGGGCGGAGGCGGTGGTACGGCCGAACGAACCTCTTGTGCAGGATTTGACGTCTTTATACTAGCTAGAATCTGAGATAAATTCGAAGGTATGGCTATGTTTGCCAATACTTTTGATGTTGTTCCCGATGTATTTCCATATTTCTAAAATATATTCAAATTCATATGAATAAGTATTTATGTAAATGTCGAAGTTTTATTGTTCCTACCGCTGTTTCTCCGGTAAGCAGACCGGCGATTTCCATTTCCTGTGCTGCTATTTGTCTATTAATCTCTTCCATTTTACGCTTCAGCTCTTCTTCAGCTGTTTGTATTTGATTGGGGCCAACGGGCAATTTTATGGGCAACAATCGCAAATCCTCATCGCCCGAGCTTCCTCCAGGGGAATATGGTTCATCAGCGTCTTTCATACTTGATACCAAAGTAGCAGATGTTGTGGCTATACGATGAAATGAATGAACACAAAAATAACTTGTTATATCTGGATACGCAGATAGTTTAAACTATATTTACCTTTTTGTAATTTGGAGGCAATTGGCGCCTTTATTATGGCGTCAATATCGATATCCTGTGGATTAGGAGACGAGCGGCGTTTCTTAAGCTTGGGGCTACCTGGAGGTGTATGAGCATCGATATCACGACCAACGAACTATAAATACAAATAACAAAATTGGGTATAATATTAGTATTGTAGAGTGGATTATTCCACACCTTTTAAAATACCGTACAATAGAAAATGTTGTTCCACAGCGTTAAAAATATGCTCCTAATAAATTAACAAATTCTATTGGACATTTTATCAATATTGATTAAATGTAAAATATCTCAACGATATATCAGAAGAACTTTATTATGATTATATTCTATTTGTGCATAACTTGTTTCCCAATCTTTATCATAGTGTCTATGTGATCATCACGATTTACTTACCTTTGTTGCTGTCTCGCTAATTGGGTTAGCCACTGAGCTATAACGTTTACCAACAACACGCACTATTATACCGATTAACATATCCGGCCGACAGGGGTCATCATAAAATTCACTGCATTCATTGAATCGCAATACAGCAGGCATTAATTTTCCTGCCGCCAATGGATATATATAGAAATCTTTTATATACTGTGATATACTTTTGATCACACCCAACCGATTACGTATTTCCAGATACTCATAAAGCAATTTATATGCGGCTGTTTCTGTTTCCTTTGCCGGCAAAAGTCGCAAGAGAACAATCTCTTTATTTGGGCTCTTTTTGATCTTCGAAATATAATCCCATACAGTTTCGGGTCCAATACGACCAACAACGTCTAGTTCCTTGGCCAAGAGTTTTGATATATTGTGACAAGTTCCCGATAGGGCCTGTAGACATAGATGGAAAGACGTGACGTCCACCATATTTATGTTGCCCGACCATAAAATTGTATTGTTATAACGACCTAATTCGTTTCCATCGCATGGGGGCGATGAAGAAATAAATCTTGCATATGGATCATGTGGCGGTGTGGGAATTGAAACTGTGCTACTAGGTTCTTGATCACTTGAGTCAACATAACTCGAGGGGGCAGGGATGTCAATAACATAGCTATTATCGCTGTTGCTACTAGTGGTGGATGTGATCGAAGGTGCTGACAATGATAGAGTTGGAGTTTTCCTACTGTTGTCTGCTTCTCTGTTTTTTTCGCTGATCAAGTTAGCTGCTTCTTCTACGGTTTTAGTAGATTCCAGGATCTTATCAACCAAGTTGTATTCTTCTAATAAGTTCGAAGTTTGATCTTGGTTGATTTTCTTTTTTTGTGTACTCGTCGCCTTTTTCTCCGCCTGCATTGCAGGTTTCTTTAGGCTACTATCGGTATGCTGATCGCGATCTGAGCGATCTTTGACACGATCCTTCTCTTTATCTCGTTTTTCATCTTTAATATCCTTTGAACTTTTATGTCGTTTTTCGCTACGGTCGCCACTGCGGCTGCGAGAACGGCTTCGACTACGTTTTCTAGGTCGGGATTTATCCCGATACCGATCTTTGCTTTTATGATGCCTCTCGCGATCTTTTTCCCTGTCGCGATTTTTATCTTTGTCTCGTTCGCGTTCTCTGCCCCGTTCCTTCTCTTTATCCTTTTCTTTGTTAGTAGTGCTGCTAGAAGAAGTTTTGTGTTTGTCGTCGTCGCCGCTTAATTTCACATGTTGTGTATGTGACTTGGAAGCAGAAAGATAATCCAAATCAGATATATGAGAAAGAGATTTAGATGTTGTGACTTCATCTGCGGATTTTGTTTTATGACTTGTGTCCTCTTCCGGTATTGTCAAAGCGATATTCTCAAATTCCGAAGACTTTCCTTCAATAACCTCTTCTCCTTTGTGTGTTTTCACTACATAGTTCTTTGCGCACGATAACAAGTCTAACTCCGATTTTTTTATCATCTCCAGTTGGTGTTTGGTTTCTTGTTCCCGCCACTGTGCCAGCTCCTGAGACGCCATTTCTTCGGGTGACATACGAACTAATTGTTTGGGCTCTATTAGTTTCCTGCATATCTTAGCATAGAGTGTATGATTTTTCCTGTCCTTGATATTAAACATAAGCGAACGGTACTTGGCTTTATATTTGGCACCTGTGTCGCGACTAAAATAGTTGTACATTTCCAGTTCAGTAGCTTTTATAAATTCGTCCACTTCTTCTACCGATAATTTAGGCATATCGCTTATTTTGTTCTCATCGCTTTCACCAGCAGAGTCCTGGTGGGTGACTACAGCTTCTTCTTGAATTCTTTGCAACAATTGTTCCTTAAGAGTACGGCGGACAACATGACGAATATCTTCATCGTGTCCAGTTGCCTTACTGCCCGCTTCCATGTTAACGGAGCGTTTTTGAGAACTGGCTGCTTTCTCTTTTGCAGTTTTTGAGTCATCGTTTGATTTCTGAACTCTGTCCGCTTTAATTGATACTTGCTGCGGATACTTCAGCAATTGCTTAGGTGTACCGGGCCGTGAATTGGATGACGTTGTTGGCGAATTCTTCAGTACTTCCTGAATAGTCTTTGTAGGTTTCGAATGTAGAGCCGACAATGTAGATTTATTTACATTAACAGGTGAATTGGTCTGTGGACTGTTCGATCTTGTGTCAGCTTTTTGTTGGTGAACCACATTTGAAAACGGAAGTAATTTCAACGGAGGAGGGGAAGTGGCCATCTTAGAAACTGTTGGCGAAGATGAATGCTGTGTACGTATTCTTTGTCTTTTCTGAAAAGAAAATTGAAAAGCGAATAAATTGAAATTAAATATATATATTTATATATATAGAGATATATACCTCTATATCAAGAGCCTGTGGACTACCGGGTTGAATAACTTCGAATGTTGGATTATCCTGGAGCCATTTTTTTAGATTTGCAAATGTTGGTGCATTGTGTCCGGTTAGCCTAAACGTCGTAATAGTAATATCAAACATATTTTTTTTTGCAAAGGTTATACATTTAATTAGCTAAAAATATATGACAGTATACTTACGTTCGTCCAGTTTTGCGTTCGAAAACATTTACCTAGAACAATAAAAATGTATTTAACAATTGAAGGAAGACACTATCATAGAGCTAGATTCTAAAATATATACTTACTCTTTCCATCTTGGTCTTACGATCTGGCATTGATAACTCCTCTTCAAACAGGCCTTTGGATTTTTTCTTTGTTTTGTCATCTTGCGAATTGGTACTCAAAGTAGCCCACGCAGTCTGTGAGTGTTTCCGTATGCAATCATCGCTACAATAAATCGAATTGGGACGTGCATTTTTCTTGCAAACAATGCATAAAGTGGGGGGTTCATTCGATGGTTTCGTGTTCAGAGATTCATTTGACGAATTTGCTGCTTTCGGAGGAGTTGCCGAAACGACTTTGATCGGCTGCTGGCTTGATGATTGTGCCGGAGATGATATCGCCTTTATAACTTTTATATTTTGATTTGGTGCCTGCTGTTTTCCGGTACAGGATATTTGCTTTACAACAGCGAACGTTCTTACTGGGGAGCTAAGATTAGATGTTGTTTTAAGTGGTTGTGTTGTAGTGACAATTATTTTCTTCTGGCCTCCACTTGCACTTCCTGGCGCTGTCTGAATGTAAACCTTTTTCCCACTGAAATCCTTAAGATTTATAATCTGTCCCGTTTGTAGTTTGGGTTTTGGCGATTCGGCCAATGCTTGTTTAGTCGGCTCTGATATAATTTTACTGACTCCTTGTTGCAAATTGGAAGTTACAACGGTCGTTGCCGAGGTAGACGCGCTACATATTGTTGGAGTTGTGGAAATGACCGTTGTACTTGTAACTACCGCTGGTTGCAATGGCGATGCAGTTTCCTTTTTGAAAAGGTCAGTAATTTTTGGTTGCTTCTAAAAACACAGACAGAGGAAACAGTTTAAGCATGTGCGAGCGACAACCTGTAGTTGTAATTAATAATCCTACCTGTTCTTCGATTTTCTTTACGCACTTGGGGCATGTCCAATCAATGCCTTTCTGTTCCATCTCTAGTCCCATAGCTTTTGTTATATTTACACAAGTTCCATGGAACCAATCCTCGCAAACATCGCAACATATCATAAATCTGTTGTTATGAGGTTGTCTGCATATACACCATAACCTAAAAAAAACATGTCACGAGATTATTCATCGTGTTTACTATACCGTTAACGTCTAAACTTACTTATTTGGATCGTCATCATCTTCGTCTCCAGAGTCTGATGCACCGGCATCAGCTTTCGATTTATTGGTTTTTTTGCTTGCATTCCGCTTGATTTTCTGTGGCGTTGTTGTAGAAGCTGTAACGTTTTCTTTAGAGCATCTTCTGCGGCTAGTAGTGTCTGGATTTTTCCTCTCTGAAGAAGTATTAAGAGAGCTAGCAGATGTTGTTGCAACGTTGGAACTCTCCAACGGAACATCATTGACAGTAGTGGAAATAATCGATGAAGTTGATTGTGTTGAAGTATTTCCCATGACGGGATGTGTAAAAGGTTGTGTTTGTGCTCGTCTCTTAGCCCGCGTTGTTGGTGCCTCGATAGGAGGCAGTGTAATGACACGTCCATTGCCTCGAACAATTTGTATGGGTTCTTTGCGAGCCAATGGTGATATTTTTATTGTCTGTTGCATAGCACGATTTTGTTCCGGGCCTGATTGAGTCACCGTTGAAGTGGTTGCTGGTATGTTTGAAATGCTCATTTGTATAATACTCCTCGAAGAATGAGGAATATCCTCTAAAATATTTTTATTACTAATTCTCTGTTGAGAAATAGGAGCCAACGGTGGAGGGTTCGGATGGGTCATAGTGGCGCTGCTAACAATGGGGTCGTTCGAATCTCCAGAACCCAAAACATCTACCGCTTCTTGTAAAGTTTTATCGTCCTTGATTAACTCAACCACCTGTTGCAGTATATCATCCGGTAAATCGTCATCATTTCCGTCAGGCCCATTTAACAAAGATGCGTTACCTAGATCGATATCTGTAAGTTTGACACTGCTATTCTCAGATGGATTATTAATTCTGGGATTTTCCAATTTGTCGCTTTGAATTTCATTTTGACATGCATCAAGTCTCGACTCTTGCATACCTTTATTCATAGCGGCTATATTTGGTACCAAAGATGCTTCAGTACTTTCCAACATCTTCACTAATTCTGGAATATTCTCAATAATATTACAGGGTGCGGGAGTAAGCATTTCTTTGGGCTTTTGCATTTCATCCTGAACGATAGAATTTATTAAATCAAGTTGCTTATCGTGTTCAGCTTCCAATTCCGAAGAACTTTGATGTGTTTGAATGGATATTTGTGCTGGTAACTGATTTTTAGATGCAGTCTCAACACCTAATGGCATAAAACCTTTTGGCGCAGCGGTCGGTTTCGGTGAGACTGCAGCTGCAATTGTCGTTTTAAATGAGGGTTTTGAATAGGATGTAGATGTTGGATGTAATCTCTGTTCTTGTTGGTCCATTAGAAGTGTATTCAAGTCAGTGAAACCTTTTGTTTTTGGACTCGACATAATATTTTTGTTAATAAGAATCTCCTTATGGGTTTGAGGGGATGTCATAGTCTTGATTGTGTTGCTTGTCTTTATGGGAACTGTTTTGACATTGATCATTTGTGTATGCAGTGTCTTGCTTTCATTTAGTTTTCTATATGGAGATTCAGAAACTGTGCCGGTAGATGACAATAAATCTTGACCTGTACTCTTAGTGGGCATACAAAGAGCTGGCGATTGCAACTTGGTTGGATTCGAACGAACTGTGATGCGGCCAATATCGGCTGCGGATTTTACATTTGGCTTGAATTTCTGAATCGTAGTAGATGTGTTCATACTTGGTTTATTCGCCAGCTCTGATTGCTCTTCTTGAGTAGGAGCACGCCTTGTCTTCTGAAGAATTTTCGGTGTATTAGATACACGTTTGGCAATTTTAGCAGCTCTAATTTTTCTTCTTCGGCCCTTTGGATTGTTCACATCAAAATCTAAATCGCTATCACGGTCATTGTCGGAATCATCTGATTCCTCGGGTGCCGTACATTCACTCTCTTCATCCCCTTCAGATGTGAAGTCTTTTTCGTCGGTCGGTACACGAGGATCTTTTTCCAATTCTTCATTGTTTTCAACAGACTTGAAGTCTTTGCCTTCCTTACAAATTGATTTGCTAGATGATGCAACACTCTTTTCTTTTATATATGTTGTTGGACTAGGCAATTTTGACAATGAGTCTGTTTTCTGAAGGATTTTCTTCCGAACAAACAGCTGTTTTCCAACACCCAATTGATTTTGCGAGCCAACAGATTTGCGACTATTGGATTGTTGCTCCAATTCTAATTTGTCCGCGGCTAGTTTAGCTTTCATTTGACTGGGTGAAGTGAAAGGTGTGTAGCAATGATCGTTCCGTATAACAAGTAACTGGAACTCAATATCTTCTTTGCTTTTTCTGTCGGGTCCTAAACCAGCCAATTCTGCAAAAATAAGGAAAAAAAGAAATCAAAATATTTTAAAGACAAGACTAGAAATGTTTAAAAATTTTTTACAGTTGTTTTAAAGACGTCTCGAACATTACTTACTGAGAGCTTCTTTTACAATTTCTCCAGCATCATCTGGGGAATAGAATTCTTCAAAGCGCAATCCAACTATTTTAGGGCGATCCCTTCTGCGTTTTCGAAATATTTTTTTCTGTTTTACCACATTTGGTTGTCGTCCTCGCCGACGAGGTACTGCCTTGGTTTTAGACTTATTATCCTCGGAGCTCTGTATGGCATCACCGCGATCGGAAGTGTCACTATCGCCAGTAATGTTACGATCATCATCCGACAAGTTGCTTTCATCGCCCTGGTCAGAACTGTCATTAGCAGAGTCTAAATCTTGACGCCTTGATATTTCCTCTTGCCTTGCTTCCTCTTCCTCCTCCTCTTGCATACTAGGAGTTGGAGATGTTAATCGAATAACACTTATAGACGATATTTTCTTCTCATCTAAAAAAGACTTTCTGGAATTTTACATTCGATATTACCGTTTTATCATATTTACCTATTAAGCTTTCCAAACCTTTGTCGTCAAAACTTATTCCATTTTTTCCGTATACAACCACAAGATTTGAATCCGGGTTGATATTATAATCCGGAGCATCCTCCGCAGCCGGCAATGGCGTTCTTTCTATGAACATAGAACTGGACATGGTGGTTTAGTATCTCGATCCAAAATTCCAATCAATATAAACAGCGATTGGCGCCAAACAGTAGCATATACAGCATATACAACCAATAAACAAATAAAGTGAAAACAGCTTCTTCACAATTAAGGATTTTTACCTTCTTACCTACAAAGTGTAAAATCGGCTTAAACTTCGCGATCTGTTCTTTTGCTGCAAATAGGCCTGGTATTAATTTAGGAAGGCATCGTTAGGCACCCATGAGACCTATAAGACACATCGATATAGTAATGGGCATGTAAGTGCAAGGTTCAGGTTTCTGTCCTCCGTCCGACAATGTCACAACAAATGCAATAAATGTATATTATTTGTGCATCCTCTTGGAAATTGTTCCAAAAGGCTTTACTTCACATATGTCGTTCACTATTCACCATACTTTTTACTGGTTTTGAAAACTCTAAATAAACTAAATAAAGATATGTAATCTTCTAATTGTCTTGTTTTTGTAGTAAAAAATTAATTATTCTTCTTTCTCGCGTTGTCTCGCGTTAGTAACACACACGACAAGTCTCTGCAGAAAAGAAATAATGAAAAACGTTCCACCTTTACGAATGGGATGGGATAAGACAAAATGCCCGGTAAAGAAGAAGTCAAAAAAGAAGACGGATAGTTACGAATGAGGTGGGATGGAGACTAATGGATTGTTTACGAATGAGGTTTAAGGAAAGGATGAGAGTAGCTCACATTCACAGCTCACATTCAGAGTTTGCTAATTACAACCCTGTAAACCTGAGGTGAAAGCAAACGAGAGGAGGACCAACCAACAGCTGATCACAATTTGAACAGTTGATCAGCTGTTTGTAGTTCCGGAACGAACTAGTTCATTGAATGACACTTAGTTTTGTTATTCACTATAACATGATAACACATTGCTCTATGGACTATAAAATAAGTCCCAATTTAGATTGGGCAAGTCTTTGTTTGTTGGAGAGAGGGGCAAGGGGAATAGAAATAGAAAAAATTGCTCATACCGGCAATTTTTTGGTAATCCGTTTTTGCGTTTTTTTGTAGTGTCAGTAATATGAAATACCAATCCCGAACATTTTCGAACATAAAAATAGTTTTGTAACCGAATTGTCTTGTATAGACGCATGAAGCAATTTCATAAGGGAACGATAAAAATTGCCACAAGTAAACTCTCCAAATCTAAATCAGAACTAAGAGAATTTACGTTCTCGTTTACATCGTACTGGATTTAACTAAAAGGATTTAATTAATTTAATAAAATAGTATAATAAGTAATAAACTAAAAATCGAGTAGATTCTTGCAGTACGGGAACATACTAATAATGTGTGACTGTGTGTGTAATGTTTTGAAGAATATTGTTACGAATATAACTTTAGATTTAAGTTAATTTAGATGAATTCCGTTAATTTAAGAATTTGAATTGTAACGTAAATTTCTACTACGCAGTTTATTCAAATAACTTCACAACAACAACTACTGTATAAATTTTTCTACATCCTTCCATTTCCTCTTTCATTGTCTATTTTGTTCTTGACGTACAATTCTTGTTAAACGTCATACATATGTGCTGTCACTTTTTTGCATATGGAAATCGAACTCGTCATGTGAAACATACGGAAATTTCAATGTGTCAAAACGATATGCAATTACATATGTATTTTTTTCCGAATAGACGCGCTCTATTTTCGTATGTGAAACATAAGGAAATCAGCTGTTTGAATGAAACACATTGTTGGAAGAAAATATTTCAATTGTAAGTCAAAGAAAAGGATGAAAAGGCAACAATTACAAATTATTATTTTTTATTATTATTATTTCGTTTGTAGGTGTTTAATAAAAAAAGATGTTGATTTAAGAAAAAATAAAAGTGATTTTTTTGTTTATAGGTTATGTCATATGTAAAATACATATGCCGATTTGAACACAAAAATAAATGTTTTGTGTACGCCGCTAATTTTGACACACATAAGGAATTACATATGGATGAAATAAGTGACAGCACATATGTAAAATACATATCGTGTAAAAACACCATTAATTCCTCTTTCTTTGTTACTCCCTCGCCTGTATATGTGTTGTTGTTATTGTTCACTCAATGTAAGTTTGTATGTGTTTGTTGCATTGGTAGATTGTTCGTAATCTAGGTGTTACCAGATCGTCTAGAAACTTCTGTAGCGACAGGCAAGGCTCATATAAATAGGGGAAATGACAAGGCAGTTAGTCAGTTGTGAATCAGATCGCGAATTGAAACCGTCAAGTAAAGTAAAGTTGTGTCAATAATATTCGTAATCAGAAAGAACCCACGTTTTATTTAGTACGAACTGTATTGGGAAATAAAACAACGTCTACACGGGATTAAGTAAAATCAAAGAACGTAACAATATAACAAAATATATTCGAAAATCGACTTGTTTGAAGATTATTATTATTTTGAATTAAATTAGCTTCAGGCTGCATTTGTTGTCAGGACGGACATATGTTGTTGTTTACATCTTTCTTCTTCTTTACAGGTTATACATTAAAAGTGAAATGTTACTTTTTGAAAAGAAAGTGTTGATTTACATTAGCCAATTTTAATTGTCGCATATATGAAGTTTAATAAAAAATGTAAACAAAATACACAAATTATAAAAAAATTATTTTATTTATTTTACAAACGTAATATTTTTTTTAATTTCTATTAAATTTTTATTTCTATCGCTTCCATAGGCCATTTAAGTTATACAAAACAACATAACTATTCTACTCCAGCAACTTATACCAAGGATAAACTAACATTGCATAAAAAATATCCTATATAATTTTTTAAACCAGAATTATTAATACTCCCTGTAGCATTTATTTGAGTAGACCCCATCCTGTTTAATTATATTTATGTTTATATTCATTTTTTCTATCTTTTAATTAATATTGTAAAATGAATTTTATTATTACAGATACATTAGTCTAATTTGCGCCCATGCTCCGACCGAAGATAAAGATGAACAGACCAAAGACATATTTTACGAGCGCATTGAAACAGCATATGACCGTTGCCCTGGCCATGACCTTAAAATTCTGCTAAAGATTTTAATGCAAAAATCGGAAAGGAAAATTCAGCCTTCATGAAGAAACATCCGACAACGGCATGAAGTTGATTGACTTCGCGGCAGCAAAAAATATGGTAGTTAGCAGCACCAGATTCAAGCATCTCGATATACACAAGGTAACGAGAAATCAAATTGATCATGTTGTGATAGACGAAAGGCATTCATCCAGTGTTTTAGACGTCCGATCGATCCGAGGAGCGAATATCGATTCGGACCATTACCTTGTGGCAGCCAAGGTACGCACCCGTCTTAATGTTGCAGCAAAGGTGCGATCTAATACAACACGGAAACTCGACGTCGAAAAGCTGCAAATACAACAGGTAGCCGAGGCCTACTCCGCTCAACTTACCCATCTGCTTGAAGAAAGCACTTCTTGTCCCGACAATATTATAGAAGCACAATGGCAATGGCAATATTATAGAAGCACAATGGCAAATAATTGCCCATTCCCTACAAACTGCAGCAAAAAGAAAATTGGGTACCAAAAACCACCACCAAGAAACCCTTGGTACGATCAGGAGCGTCGTAAAGCTTTTGGAGTAGTCCATGTAAAGAAGTTTTTGGAATCACTCATGGCCCTTTGGGCTAGGTTCTCGTTTATGAAATGAATTGAAATTATTATTTCGTTTGTAGTTGTTTAATAAAAAAATGATGTTGATTTAAGAAGAAATAAAAGTGTATTTTTGTTTATAGGTTATGTCTGAGTATGTTTTGTTTTATGTATGTAAAATACATATTCCAAAATAAAAGTTTTGTGTACGCTGCTAATTTTGACACACATAAGGAATTACATATGGATGAAATAAGTGACAGCACATATGTAAAATACATATCGTGTAAAAACACCATAAGCAGAATGCTCGCGTTGAGCCATCCGTCGCGTTATATGTTATCGAAAATACAACAACCACAAGGAAACGATAACACAAACGCAATGTCGGGAGTCGACTTACAAAGCCCTAATTTGAACTAGTTCGTTCCGGAACTACAAACAGCTGATCAACTGTTCAAATTTTTATCAGCTGTTGGTTGGTCCTCCTCTCGTTTGCTTTCAACTTCATTCGCCAGGTTGGTCCTCGGCTCGTTTGCTTTCACCTCAGGTTTACAGGGTTGTAACTAGCAACCCTTGCTGGCTGGACTAAACACAAAAAACACAAAGGACAAGGACGCAGTTTTCTCAGAGTGACTCTTCACGAAAAGTTCGACACCGTTCTGGAAGTACTTCTGGAAGGCCCAAAAAGACAGTTTGTTTGCTGAAAATCGATCCAAGGCCGAAGTAATATAGAAAGAGAACCACAGATCATAGAATTAAAAGGGAAAATAGCCGAATGAGGAGCTAAATGAGGAGGGATAATAATACAATTACAAAATGGGAACTGAAGTGAATAATGTTGAGCCAAATCCATCGAATACTATCACTTCCTACAAACTGAAGCCTTCGTTAGGTGAAACATTTAAAGGTGTTCTGATAAAGGAAATAATTCATGAAGTGTTGACAGAAAAACTCCAAGGTTTCCACGCCAACGAGATGTATATAAAGATATTAATGTTTGTATATTCTACTTTCAGGAAAGATATATAACTCTGATGAAGTTTCTCAATGGACGAAAGATATTGCAGATACCATTAATACAACAATAAGAAATAAGCTGGCTATGCCTCGATATAAATATGTTGTACAAGTCATGCTAGGTCAACAGCTTGGAGCTGGATGTCATTATTTTGCAAAATGTTGTTGGGATGCTGAATCAGATTCTCAAACTTCTGACGTGTTTAGCAATACAAGTCTATTTTGTGTGTGCACAGTTTTCGGAATATATTTATATTAATGCATGTTATCATATACTATGTAACCATTGGATATCTAATAAATTAAAATTTAAATCGTTTGTGAAATCATTATATCAATATTTTTTATTAATTAAACAAATGAGCTTTTCGAATAACTCTCAGAAAATGTTTAAATTTTTACCATAGGTAGGCCTTCTGATACTGAATACAACATATTTTTTAGGGGAAATCAGGGAAGAAATGACCTTATTAGATATAAGATGTCAAAAATGCAATCATTTCGCTTTATTACAAAAAAGTACTGCCTTTAAAATTTCTTTTATTCGATGAGATTTGATCCAAGGCATTTAAAACTTACTGTTTTATGACTTGAGACTTCATTAATTTTGTACTTACTATTTTATAGCAAAGGACCGCGCCACAGCTCATTCTTTTGACCCAATGTGTTGAAATTATTATTATTGGTAGCCCGTTCAGAACTTTTTTTTGTCTAAACATAGCATTTTTATTCCATAAAACATATTAGAATGCATCCGAAGGGATTTATTGTTTTATATATTCAGCCCATTTCGGCTTAGATCTCCTTCCTGGTATTCTTGTATTTTTCTGTTTTCGACACCTATTTTAGGACATTTCGACGCAATGTATTCGATATCGGTATCGACTGTCATAATTTGCCCCCTGTAATTCCAGAGGTGTGCGGATTCAAAATTCAAAAATACTTCCACTTTTTATTAAATATCTTAACGAAAAGTTCTCCGAAAGAATTTATCATTTTACTGCAATTTTTCATCAGTTGCCATAAGTAGGCAACTATTTTCAATTGTATCGTATTTTGTAGCATACTTTAAGGAGGATTCATTTTGTATGTTCCAGTACTTTTCTACAGTAAAGCTAAAGGGGGAAAATGCCACAATCGCTCTCAAAGTAAAAAATATTTTGAATAGTTTGGAACAGAAACTTGTAAAATGTAAAAATTAGAAATTATCAACGGCCAATCAGATGTTGTTATTCCTGTTTAACAATTTTCTCAACTTTCTTAAGTAAAAAAACAGGGTTTAGGTGCTTTTGGACAGAATATTACAAACCCTTCAACGCGAGCATTCTGCTAGGCCCCCAACAAGTTAAAATATATTTAATTCCAAAGCGATGCGCACATCAACTTCAAGTTCATTCTTATCGTTTCCTTATGGTTGTTGTATTTTCGATAACACATAACGAGACGAATGGCTCAACGCGAACATTCTGTTTAGACATGAAGGGCAACGCACATAAACTACGAGCATTTCTTTGTTTTCGTTTCCTTGTGGGGCTCAACGGATCCAAGGTAGATATATATTAAATATACCTTGAACGGATCTATTCTACTTACCGCTTATACACGCCTTTTAACTCGACTTCAACTTTCAGTCGATTAGTCCTCTCAATCGATTAGTCGAAAGTCGAATTACCTATCCCTAATCATAATTTGCCTTAACCTCATTCGTAAACAACACGGTTTCCATTTAGTCTCCATCCCACCTCATTCGTAAACTTTCGGTTATACCATTTTGAGTTCATCTTTATCGGCCATTTTGTCTTCTCCTCCCATTCGTTAGCAGGTGGAACGTTTTTCAATTTTTTCAGTCGTCGTTTTGCAACTTTTTACTCGAAAACCGTTCCTGAATTTTCCAATATATTTTGCGAGCTATTGGACGCGGTCGTATTTCTAAAAAAAGTCTAAAAATTAATAAACTAAAGAAGAAAACAATGGTGCGAGGTGGCATTCGTGGTGGCCGTCCTATGCGTGGTCCAATACGACCACCATTTAAGAAAACATTCGTGCCCAGACACCCGTTTGACCTGACATTAGCTGAAGTTGTATTCCCGAAAGTTTCGCCGGCTGTCGATGATGCTGCCTTAACTGCTGTATGTATTCTTAGGAACAACTCTAGTTTAGTAAAAACGATCAAATTTTTTTGAAATTTTTTCCAGAGGTAGGTATTTTTACCCTAATTATGGGGATATCTTTTTTTCTTGGGGGACGTACCCGGTTACCCGGTTATTTGACCCGGAAGTTCGGGTACGGGTACCCGGTTATATCCGGTTCCAGAGGTAGGTATTTTTACCCTAATTATGGGGATATCTTTTTTTCTTGGGGGACGTACCCGGTTACCCGGTTATTTGACCCGGAAGTTCGGGTACGGGTACCCGGTTATATCCGGTTCTACGGATCCGGTTAATATAATATGGGTATCATTTTAAAGGTTATAAAAATACCTTTCCATTGAGTGGTAATATGATAGGGTTATCTCACCATTTTGGAGATATAGTCAAAAAACTGGGTTTTGGACCCCGATTTTTTTGAAAAACTCCCTAAAAGTCGAACTTGGGTCCATTATAGTCTCTCTCCAAACCAAACCCAAATGATAGACCACGATTTGCCCTTTCCAAAATGGTGCGATATGTGGCTGTATCTGTTGTGGATCAAAAGATATGGGCCTTAGAACCCTATAAAAACAAGGAAAATCTTTCTGCATGACAGAATCTCCTTTTAAGTAGCATGGTGTTTTTTGGGTGACCGGCCTTCGGCCGGGTATTTAAGACTTTCTCCTATGGACAGATGCCAACAGCGGCTACGCGACAGAATCTCTTGTTAAATAGAATATTTTTTTTTTTTTTTGGGTGACCGGCCTTCGGCCGGGGATTTAAGCCTTTCTCCTATGGACAGATGCCAACATCGGCTAACGCGGCAGAAACTCCTTCTAAATAGAATATTTTCTTGTGTAGCCGGCCTTCGGCCGGGGATTTAAGACTTTCTCCTATGGACAGATGCCAACACCGGCTAACGCAGCAGAAACTCCTTCTAAATAGAATATTTTTTTGTGTAGCCGGCCTTCGGCCGGGAATTTAAGGCTTTCTCCCATGGACAGATACCAACACCGGCTACGCGACATAATCTCTTGTTAAATAGAATATTTTTTTGGGTGACCGGCCTTACGCCAGGGATTTAAGACTTTCTCCTATGGACAGATGCCAACACCGGCTACGCGACAGAATCTCTTGTTAAATAGAATATTTTTTTGGGTGACCGGCCTTCGGCCGGGGATTTAAGACTTTCTCCAATGGACAGATGCCAACACCGGCTAACGCGGCAGAAACTCCTTCTAAATAGAATATTTTTTTTGTGTAGCCGGCCTTCGGCCGGGGATTTAAGACTTTCTCCTATGGACAGATGCCAACACCGGCTAACGCGACAGAAACTTCTTCTAAATAGAATATTTTTTTGTGTAGACGGCCTTCGGCCGGGTATTTAAGACTTTCTCCTATGGACAGATACCAACACCGGCTACGCGACAGAATTTTCTTGTTTTTGTAGGGTTCTAAGGCCCATATATTTTGATCCACAACAGATACAGCCATATATAGCACCATTTTGGAAAGGGCAAATTGTGGTCTACCATTTGATTATGGGTTAGAGATGTACTATAATGGAGCAAGTTCGACTTTTAGGGAGTTTTTCAAAAAAATCGGGGTCCAAAACCCAGTTTTTTGACTATATCTCCAAAATATATATTAACCGGATCCGTAGAACCGTACCCGTACCCGAACTTCCGGGTCAAATAACCGGGTAACCGGGTACGTCCCCCAAGAAAAAAAGATATCCCCATAATTAGGGTAAAAATACCTACCTCTGGAAAAAATTTCAGAAAAATCTGATCGTTTTTACTAAACTAGAGTTAAGCCTATTCTTATGTGTATACCAATGAAAGATATTTTTCATTTCTAATTTATTTAAAGGCATTGCTCAAGCGGAATCAGGATCTTAGTCCTACACCTGCCGAACAAACGTCGGTAGGGAATTTGGTTTCTAAGGTTCAGGCTGTATTGGATAACTTGATTGTGGCTCCAGGAGACTTTGACAAATGTGTAAGTGCTTTATAATTGGCAATTGTCTGATGGTGTAAATTTGCCAATGGATTTGATCTGATATAATTTACGTATTTAGAATACTAGAGTAGCCTCATTGAGAGAATATTACCATAGGTAGCTCCAATGGTATTATTTTTATAGAAGAAAGCCATAGCTTTCATAAGTTTTAAAATATACCCTTTTTACCTTGTTAGTAATAGTAATAACCCAGACATAGATTAATCAAAATGTGCTCCGAACTTTCAAGGCCCGCATCTTGGGAAGTATGCATTTCACCACATAAAATGTATATCACTGAAATCAACTCAACTAGGACTACTCAGGGCAAAAGTGTCAAAATCATTCGAGAGACCTTTTTCGGACATTTAAGTAATTGGGGAAGGTTTATTTTCATTTGAATGGACATTAGACTTGAGTCTAATTTAAGGGCTGTTATACGGCGTTTACATTTTATCGGATTTCGTTAACCCAGTGGGTTTAAATGATCAATTTCATTGTATATATGTCAAATAAATCTTCATAGTGTAGGTTAACCCGGTAAAAAGTTCTAATGTAAACGCCGTATTAGTGTCTGTTTTGAAATTTTTGGCATAATTAGTCCCTTAGACCAGATTACCACGATTTTAATTACAGTAAAAAATTCGAAATTCATTTTGAATTTCGGAGGTTCATATCACAGAATTATGGATTTCTTCGATAATAGAATAAAATCACTTTTAGCCGTATTGCCGATAAGAATAGAAAAGTGGGGTAAATTCAAGGGTCCCAGGGAACTCTGGAGGCTCATATCTCCGGAAGTATGGATTTCCTCTCAGATAAAATTTTAAAATATGTTCCTCCGTTCAGTCTAATCTTCTATGACTTGCCCAAATCTCAATTTGTAGCCGTATTTTTTTTATAAATTTTAAACTTACATATCCCCATCGAATGTAATACACGATGAGCTTGCTGGCCAATAAACAGTCACAGGCCGCTCGTCGCCTACCTAAATTGTTTTATAGAAATAATCAAACACTGGAAGTGCTTTCAGAAAAGGACGAAAAAATATTTAGTTTTTTTTCGTACGTTCCCACGCCTCACTTTCCCACCCCTGCCGACAGAGGGGGCGACCTCCCCTTTCGTAGGGATCGCGTACACACCATAATCCGCATTATGATGGAATATGAGAAGGGATAGAAAACCAGCTACAGAAATCTACTTCAACAGCCAGTTTGTTATTAAGTTGTATTATTCATTTAAAAATATGATTATATTAGATTTTATTAGTTCAATATTCATGCAAAAGTCTACGTTAGAATACACAGAATTGAAATAAATACACATTTTACTAAGTGGATCTCCCATAGAAAAATTTGTGCGATGAAAATCTACGTATAATGGTTGATAATATCTACTTGATCGAAAAGGAACATTTATTCTAATGGATGAAATTATTAAGTCTGAGGATATATTACCGTTTAGTATTTTAATTACTATCATAGTGTTCAACATAATACGTCTACTTTTTAATGTAGGCAATCGAATTAATTTTAACCTGCTAGTGTAAGAAGGCAACACAAAGTCACTATTCCAATGTAAACCTCTCAGTGCAAAAATTAGAAATTGTTTCTGCACTGATTCAATTTTATCGGAATATATTGTATATTGGGGATCCCATACAACAGAACCATATTCTAATATGGGTCGCACAAGAGATGTAAAAAGTTGTTTTGTAATGTAGGGATCAGAGAATTCTTTAGCCCATCGTTTTATAAATCCTAAGACACCGTGGGCTTTGTTTACCATAGAAATGATATGATTATTAAAATTTAATTTTGGATCCATTAAAATACCAAGATCAACAAATGAATCTATAGTTGATAAAACAGTACCATTAATATTGTATTGCCTTGTTAAAGTAGAAGATCTGGAAAACACATATGCTTACATTTGTTTAGGTTTAAATCCATACAGTTTAATTCGCACCATTGAAAAAGGTTATTTAAATCATTTTGAAGTAAATCAGCTTGCTTCATGGAGTTATGGGTGATAAACAACTTGACATCGTCAGCATACATTAGCAATTTGGAGTGGATTATTGCATTTGGTAAATCATTTATGAATAGAAGAAAGAGGAGTGGACCTAAATGACTTCCTTGGGGAACACCGGAAGGAACATTATTGGATTTGGAGAGACAATCATCAAACAAAACTACCTGTGATCTATTTCTCAAATAAGATGATATCCATTTAACTAAATTTATACTGAAACCAATTTGATTTAATTTATAAAAGTTCATGGTTAACCCTGTCAAAAGCTTTACTGAAGTCAGTGTAAATCGTGTCGGTTTGATTACGCTGAATAAAACCTTTTATGACGGTTGAGGAAAATTGAATAAGATTGGTAATGGTTGAGAGGCCACTACGAAAACCATGTTGATATGGACTTAAGATTGGCTGAACTTTATGAGAAATTACATCAGTAATCAGTTTTTCGAATAATTTTGGAATTGCACTCAATTTAGCAATTCCTCTATAATATAAAGACATTAGTTAAGCTACCAGATTTGTGTAAAGGAACTATATATGATTTCTTTCAGAAGGTCGGAAAATGACCATATTTCAGGGAATAATTAAACAATAGCGTTAAAGGGATAGCTAATGTATCTGAACAGTACATTAGAATTATGCTAGGAATGCCATCCGGACCTGGACTTTGATCTTAAATTACGTAGATTTTTAGAAACATATTGACTTTGTAAAAAAGGCATATATATTTGATCTATCGTCGATAATTTATAATTATATGTATCTTTATTTGGACAGGGTGAATATGAATATGTTGTAGCGAAAAAATTTGCAAAGCACTCTGAAATTTCAGAGTTTTTCTCAAATGTCTGATTATTGAATTTCAAGATGGTGGGCTTTGACGTAGCTTTTCTTTTTATATTAACAAAGTCATAAAAAGACTTAGGATTGGATTTGAAATTAAGTTTAATCTTCTTTAAATAAAGATTGTAAAGTTTTCGGGACTCTGACGTATATTTAGACCTTGCGATTTTAGATTTTAGCACGATCTACTACAACATCTTAAATTTTCCAAATATTTTGAGAGATGGGGCTAAGAACAATTTCATGAAATGTGAGAATATTTTAAAAATGTACATAAGTGAAATCTTGATGAAAAGGGCAAATGCTACAATTTTCTGTGAGGTGCGGGGTTTTCAATTCCTGTTTAGTGTAATTTGTCCTAAATTTTTTATTGGTATCTATTTTATCTTTATAGCAACTGGAAGAAGTACGTCAAGTTGGATCATTCAAGAAGGGTACTATGTTAACCGGCAATAATGTTGCTGATATAGTCGTTATAATGAAATCTGTCCCAACAAAAGAAGCGTGCGAAGAGCTGGCCAAAAAAGTTGAAAATGACCTCAAGAATTCAATGAAAACTGAAGTATTAACCAAGGCAGATAAAATTGTCACCACTCATCATGAACGTGGTTTTGACATTTATAATTCGCAGGCTAAAGTTCGTATACTGATTACAACTATTCCGCCCAACATAAGGAAAAACGAAGCGAATATGTTTCCAGAGGCCAAGGTTATGCATGGTCATTTGGCTGCTATAAGACATACCCGTTGGTTCGAAGAGAATGCTCACCATTCATCAATAAAAGTGCTTATTCGCATTTTAAAGGATCTTACAAAACGCTTTGAAGCATTTTCTCCTTTATCGCCCTGGATGTTGGATTTAATGGCCCATCTCACTATCATGAACAACCCTTCCAGGCAGGCTTTGCCAATTAATTTGGCTTTCAGACGCGTATTCCAACTCTTATCGGCTGGTCTCTTTCTTCCCGGTTCAGCAGGCATTACAGACCCCTGTGAACCTGGTCACAATAGAGTTCATACAGCCATGACACTGGAAGAACAAGATTCTTGTTGTATGACGGCTCAGACTCTACTGCGTGTCCTAGCCCACGGTGGATATAAACAAATTTTGGGCATTGAAGGAAACTCGAACATAGTCAAAGAAATGTCTGTGTGGAACGGAGTAGTTGTTTCTCCATTGGAACGTGTCTATGAAAAGCCAGTCGATAAAAAAGATGGCGATGGAGACGAAGATATGGAAACGGTTGAAAATGACAATGTAATGGATGAAGATTCTGCTGAACAGTAAGAGTCATTAGAATTAAATAGTATCTCATAAATATAGCGATAGATGCAATAAAGATATTCATCATATTAATAATATGTTTTTTTTTTACTATTAAAATTTTTGTTGGACATTATGGTTTTTCAAGGGTCGTACCTAAATTCATGCGTATGCGTACGATTTTATTCACCTCAAAAGTTAAAAACATGTTTTTTAATGAATGTTGCCCAAATACGCATTGGGTATAACAACGTTACCTATATTTCATCTTCCCCACTATGGCGAAATGTTTTGTACAGCCGTATTACCCAATTACGTCCAACAGATCAAAATCAAAATGTGTCCAAATAATAAAAATATTCAACTTCCCCACTATGGCAAAATGTTGTGTATTACCCAAATACGTCGAATCCATATCTTCAAGCAAATAATACAAACCGCAAAACAAAATTGAAAATTTATTAAATTAATCCACATATTTTTAGTTTCCATTCAAAATTTCAAATTTCCAGAATGTTTTGTTTTCAACAAAAGAAAAAAATGAAAAATACGTTCTGTCAAAGTTGAAATTGTTCAACTTGAAATTTTGTACGTTCGTGTACATGTGTTCTACTTTTGT